CTACGGCCGCCGCCAGCTCCAGGCCCGTCTGGCCGAACACCACCTGCAAGGCCGCTATGAGCAGCCACGGCCAGAGCCCGGCCAATCGCCGCTGGGGAACGGTCATTGGATCGGCTGTAGCGGCGGGCTCCGGCCGCACATCGTGGACTTCAAAGCTGGCAACGACCGGAATTGATTCAGGACAAGAAATATATGGCCTAGCAACGGTCCTCCGCTTTGTGAGTTATAAAATGTAAAAACCCGTGAAAACGATTCGGAAAAACAGTGTTAAATCCAAAGTTTTAAGCTTCACTGACTGCCATGTTGTCTTTGTGGATGCATGTCTTGTGGATTTCTGATGAATTCCTATCCCGCTTTAAAAGTTTGTTCCAGGTGAAAAAGTTAATGATTTCACTCTTCCCGTACAACACGAGCTCCAGTCCTTACGTGAGATAAACAGAAGCCCAGTCCTCGTTTTCAACCTGCAGGTTCAAGTTGTCACTCGGTTCAGTCCGGACACGTCCAAATCACCAGCTCTTGTAATTTTCAACCACTGGCAATATTTCCATAAACCTTTTGCAACAATGTTGATAATTAATTATGTGACCAACACACTATAAACATGCTACAGTTACGTCTGGTTTAAAAAGGTGTATCCAATTGACCGGTATTCCATGTCACATTTCTAGATCAACAAAAAAAGGTGTAAAATCACGTTGACGGACTCCAGATGCAACAAGTACCTCAAAAGCAATTCCCACCGCACTGTATCCCTAGAGGTTTCAAACGAATGGCATTGTTTGTTGAACTTCAGAAACAGAGAGGAACAAAGTCAAATTGATGTTGATAAGACTGATTCCAAGATGACAGGCGACCATACAGTAAACAACGACGGAAATGCAATAGTAACTTTCATAGGCTCCGTAGCGACTAACTCTCGACAAAAATGCCACCATAAAGTTGACAACGGAGTTTTCCGGACTTTTGAAATGTTTAACTAGCTAATCCAATGGAACCGTTGAAATTATTTACCTAACATGTTATAACTAGTGAATTAATTAAGAGTAGAAATCACGTGTAATTTCTGCAGCCGACGCATCCACATGTCTATCCCCCAGCTTAAGTTGCTACGCATCTAAAACCAGTTTGCTTCCTGCCACCTTCCAAAAACGTTGGCTCTTTTCCGGAGTACCACGTCTGAAATGTATAACACTTCTGAAACTAAATACTTCCCGCTGGTGCCGACAAAAAAGATATAGGCTAAACTCCAGTAACTTACTGAAAAGTTATCTGAAGTTTAACAAATGTAGAATCGCTTGAACGCAAGTAGTTAAAACACTGTTATTGGTCTTCATAAAAATATTGAAAAGTTGTTAAGACACTGTACATTAGCGAAGTCGCGAAGTCCCGAAGCCTGCCTCGTAGTCTCCCTCCCATGGGATCTCATCGACAGTCTACCTGCTGACTGCCTGTCACCGAGGGTGGAGCACGAGCTACACAGTGCCACCACAGACTAAAGACGACACGGGGCGCCCTCCAGCGGACAACACTGGTAACAGCCAAGCACCACTTTTTGACCTCGTTTAGATCGAAGATCCTGAAATGTAGCCCACCCACCTTAGAGGGTCCCATATAAAGAACTACATGATGCAATAAATGAAATGCAAAAGAACAAATGAATTATATCACATTTTAATAATAATGATAATTGTTTTATAATTATAAACCAATTATATCATGTCCAAATGTGAGAAATTATTTTAAAATGACTCAAGGTTAAAATAGAATCGTTTTTTTGCATTTCAAAATATGTATAAATGTCACTTTTTGGTGTCCAACTAAAACAAATTAGGAATGAACATTAAGGGCACTTGTGCTTTAAGAAAAAAAAATAGACAAATAAGTATTGGTATGCATGGCCACCGGAAGATGATCAAAATGATTGGATCCCTTGATAAAGATGAGCAAAAAGACTGTATAAAATAAATAATACAATTACTGAGCTATATTGTATGCAAAAAAAATATATTGTATGGAACTTAATACAATTGCTCAGAGAAAGAGATTTTGTTTAACAAGAAATTACTTTTTTTTAATACTCTATCACCCTCCCCTTCCGAGGATAACGACACGTCCTTTTTCTAAAATGTTTTATGAGATTGGAGAACACATTGGGAGGGATCTTAGACCATTCCTCCATACATAATCTTTCCAGATCCTTGATATCCTTCGTCTGCCCTTATGGACTGCCCTCTTCAATTCAAACCACAGGTTTTCAGTAGGGTTCAAGTCCGGAGACTGAGACAGCCATTGCAAAATTGTGATTTTGTGGCCAATTAACCATTTCTTTATGGATTTGGATGTGTAATTGGGGTTATTGTCTTGCTAGAAGATCCACTTGCAGCCCAGTTTCAGCCTCCAGCAGAGGAAACTAGGTTTTTGGCAAAAATGTCCTCCTGGTACTTGGTAAAGCTCACATCAAAATCCACAAAGAAGTGGTTAATTGACCACAAAATCCATCTCAGTCTCTGGACTGAACCCAATTGAAAACCTGTGGTTTTAATTGAAGAGGGCAGTCCATAAGCGCAGACGAAGGATTTTAAGGATCTGGAAAGATTCTGTATGGAGGAATGGTCTAAGATCCCTCCCAATGTGTTCTCCAATCTCATAAAACATTTGAGAAAAAGGCTCAGTTTTGTTATCCTCGCAAGGGGAGGGTGCTGGAGTATTGAAAACAAGGGAGCCAATAATTTGTACCCCTATATTTATATATATATATTTTTATTACTTGTTCTCTGAGCAATTGTATCAGTATAAAATAATATAATTTTAAAAAATAGCGTACAATATAGCTCAGTATTTGTATTATATAATTCATAGTCTTTTTTGCTCATCTTTATCAAGGGATACAATCATTTTGGACCCCACTGTATGTACAATGTCCAATATACAGTTGAAGTCGTAAGTTTACATACACCTTAGCCAAATACATTTAAACTCCGTTTTTCACAACTCCTGACATTTAATCCTCGTAAAAATTCCCTGTTTTAGGTCAGTTAGGATCAACACTTTATTTTAAGAATGTGAAATGTCAGAATAATAGTAGAGAGTGATTTATTTAAGCTTTTATTATTTTCATCACATTCCCAGTAGGTCAGAAGTTTACATACACTCAATTAGTATTTGGTAGCATTGCCTTTAAATTGTTTAACTTGGGTCAAATGTTTCGGGTAGCCTTCCACAAGCTTCCCACAATAAGTTGGGTGAATTTTGGCCCATTCCTCCTGACAGAGCTGGTGTAACTGAGTCCGGTTTGTAGGCCTCCTTGCTCACACACACTTTTTCAGTTCTGCCCACAAATGTTCTATAGGATTGAGGTCAGGGCTTTCTGATGGCCACTCCAATACCTTGACTTTGTTGTCCTTAAGCCATTTTGCCACAACTTTGGAAGTATGCTTGGGGTCATTGTCCATTTGGAAGACCCATTTGCGACCAAGCTTTAACTTCCTGACTGATGTCTTGAGATGTTGCTTCAATATATCTACATAATTTTCCTTCCTCATGATGCCATCTATTTTGTGAAGTGCACCAGTCCCTCCTGCAGCAAAGCACCCCCACAGCATGATGCTGCCACCCCCGTGCTTCACGGTTGGGATGGTGTTCTTCAGCTTGCAAGGAACCCCCTTTTTCCTCCAAAATAACGATTGTCATTATGGCCAAACAGTTCTATTTTTGTTTCATCAGACCAGAGGACATTTCTCAGAAAAGTAAGATCTTTGTCCCCATGTGCAGTTGCAAACCGTAGTCTGGCTTTTTTATGGCGGTTATGAGGCAGTGGCTTCTTCCTTGCTGAGCGGTCTTTCAGGTTATGTCGATATAGGACTCGTTTTACTGTGGATATAGATACTTTTGTACCTGTTTCCTCCAGCATATTCACAAGGTCCTTTGCTGTAGTTCTGGGATTGATTTGCACTTTTTGCACCAAAGTACGTTCATCTCTAGGAGACAGAGACAGTCTCCTTCCTGAGCGGTATGACGGCTGCATGGTCCCATGGTGTTTATACTTGCGTACTATTGTTTGTGCAGATGAACGCGGTACCTTCAGGCATTTGGAAATTGCTCCCAAGGATGATCCAGACTTGTGGAGGTCCCCCCCAAAAATGTCTGAGGTCTTGGCTGATTTCTTTTGATTTTCCCATGATGTAAAGCAAAGATGAACTGAGTTTGAAGGTAGGCCTTGAAATACATCCACAGGTACACCTCCAATTGACTCAAATGATGTCAATTAGCCTATCAGAAGCTTCTAAAGCCATGACATCATTTTCTGGAATTTTCCAAGCTGTTTAAAGGCACAGTCAACTTAGCGTATGTAAACTTCTGACCCACTGCAATTGTGATACAGTGAATTATAAGTGAAATAAACTGTCTGTAAAGTGGATGTCCTAACCGACTTGCCAACAATATAGTGGTTGAAAAACGAGTTTTAATGACTCCAACCTAAGTGTTGGAAACTTCAGACTTCAAGTGAATGTACTATCAGGGAAATTTATTTTTCTATCAGTGACAAACAAGTAACATTGGTACATATATTTAAACAAGAAGCTACAGCAAATTCAAAGAATCTCTTGACTTGAGCCTGAGTAGCAAAACTGAAAACTTGGGACATTCTAATCTTGACTATGGTCAAGATTCCTAGGTGCATGCCACATCAACCAACAAGTTCAGATCTAAAATATGAAATAAAAAAAGTGTAAATAAATTTAGTCATGATACCCTCAATCTACTCCTCTACACTGTTGACATTATTCTTTGCTGTGTATTTTTTTATCATTTTTTATTTCCCCAGGAAAGTCCCATTGAGATATATAATCTATTTTACAAGGGAGACCTGACCAAGAGAGCAGCAGCAGCAAGTATTGTGCACAAATGGAAGTGGATAGTTGTCTTCCCTGGAGATTTAGTTTGCTGTCTGGCGGTCTTGTTCTCCTGGCTCAGGCTGCACACAGTAGAACACTGCAGACCTATGCGTCCACCATCTTGATCTCCTTCACCTCCATCTCCTTCACCTTGGTGATGTACTCGGATGCTTCCTCAGGGCACTGGGATAAATCACAGCATGATCAACCTCTTATTATAAAACAGAGTTCATCAGGATCACTGATAACCATCCATACGATATGTTTTTATTACGTTTATTACCAAGAAATACAGACTGAGTATCTTTGCTTTCTCTTTACACTCACAATTCTAAATTCTTTAAACCCCAAATTATAAAACTTTCTGATAATGAGATTAGGTACACTGGTTTGTTTCTTGATAAATAATAACCTCAATGTACCACGTTTTTACAAAGCTAGGCTAGCTAACCTTCTGATAGGCGTTGACAGGCAATGGTTCCTCCTCCCTCTTGACTGGCTGCTCAGCTGCAGGACGACCGACCGTGATGGCTATTCACTGAGAAGGAATGTTCCCTGGGACTGCTATAATGATGGACCCTCGTGGAGTCACTGTGCTGGCATCCATCACTATGGTGCCAGGCAGAAAGCTGGAGTTGACAGAGGAGTCAAGCTGGGAAGAGACGGTGACTGTGTGAGGGTAGCTGTGGATGGTGGTGGTGGGCTGGGGCCCTGATGATGTAGAGGTGGCCAGGACCAGCTGCTGGCGCTCTGGGGTTTCCACTTTGACCATGCGTATTTTGGGGGAACTGTGGTGCAGCTCATCCACTATCTGGAAGACTGTGTCCAAGTTGACATCACTATTTTTGGTCTCCTGGTTTTCCCCGCTCTGCCAGTCCTGGTTTTGGTTGCCAGGATACAAAAAGCCCACAGGACAGTTTGGCTAGAAACCAGGATTAATAATATCTATTTTATAGCAATGCATAAAAGGCCTGCAATTTCATGTTCAAGCATTACATTTTGACTCATATGCTCCCTGTCACACCCTGATCTGTTTCACCTGTCTTTGTGATTGTCTCCACCCTCCTCCAGGTGTTGCCCATCTTCCCCATTATCCCCGGTGTATTTATACCTGTGTTCTCTGTTTGTCTGTTGCCAGTTCATTTTGTTTTGTCAAGCCTACCAGTGTTTTTCACCTTGCGCCTGTCTTTCTCAAGTTCCTGTTTTCTGGTTTTGACCATTCTGCCTGCCCTGATCCTGAGCCTGCCTGCTGTTCTGTACCTTGTCACACAACCCGGGATTACTGACCTCTGCCTGCCCCCTGTTTTTGTAATAAACTTTTGTTACTTCGACACTGTCTGCATCTGGGTCTTCTCCTGACACGTGATACTCCCCATATTTCCACCCATATGAATTCTAGATCCCTCTGGGCAGATTGACAGACAAGCTGCTGTATGGGTAGGCCTAACAGTTGGATTCCAATCTACCTGGTAACAGCTGTAATGAGAGTATGAGGGAGTTGTCTGGTGGACACTATGGCAGTCTGAGTCCATTGAACCTGTGGGGCAGCACTGGCACACCAATGCTAAAAAAAAAAACACAATCAAGAAGTATGTTAATTCAACTTCTATGACAGTTTATGAGGAAATCACAGTGTTTCTGTGTGTAACTAATGGGTGCTTCCATGACATGGTATGTTATAGTTACCAGGCAAATAAAAAGCAGCATGGTGAGGGAAGAAGGGTTTGCCAGGCTTTGTGAACCCTGCTGGATGTGCACAATGGTCGGACTGGACTGCACAGAGCAGGAAGTGTCTGAAGGGAAACGGGTGTAGCATAGCAAGGTTGACATAAAATATGATATGTTGCCCAGGGGTATGTTTTCCCAGGCAGGAGCATCATACCATCATATATACAGTGCATTCGGAAAGTAATCAGACCCCTTGACTTTTTCCACATTTTGTTACGTTACAGCCTTATTCTAAAGTGTATTAAATAAATAAAAATCCTCATCAATCTACACACAATACCCCATAATGACAAAGCAAAAAAGTTTTGCACATTTATTAAAAATAAAAAACAGAAATACCTTATTTACATAAGTATTCAGACCCTTTGCTATGAGACTCGAAATTGAGCTCAGGTGCATCCTGTTTCCATTGATCATCCTTGAGATGTTTCTACAACTTCATTGGAGTCCACCTGTTGTATATTCAATTGATTGGACATGATTTGGAAAGGCACACACCAGTCTATATAAGGTCCCAGAGTTGACAGTGCATGTCAAAGCAAAAATCAAGCCATTAGGTTGAAGGAATTGTCTGTAGAGCACTGAGACAGGATTGTGTCGAGGCACAGATCTGGGGAAGGGTAACAATGTCTGCAGCATTGAGGGTCCCCAAGAACACAGTGGCCTCCATCATTCTTAAGTGGAAGAAGTTTGGAACCACCAAGACTCTTCCTAGAGCTGGCTGCCCGGCCAAACTGAGCAATCGGGGGAGAAAGGCCTTGGTCAGGGAGGTGACCAAGAACCCGATGGTCACTCTGAAAGAGCTCCAGAGTTCCTTTATGGAGATGGGAGAACCTTACAGAAGGACAACCATCTCTGCAGCACTCCACCAATCAGACCTTTATGGTAGAGTGGCCAGACGGAAGCCACTCCTCAGTAAAAGGCACATGACAGCCCGCTAGGGCTCTCAGACAATGAGAAACAAGATTCTCTGGCCTGATGAAACCAACATTGACCTGAATGCCAAGCGTCACGTCTGGAGGAAACCTGGCACCATCCATACGATGAAGCATGGTGGTGGCAGCATCATGCTGTGGATATGTTTTTCAGAGGCAGGGACTGGGAGACTAGTCAAGATAGAGGGAAAGATGAATGGAACAAAGTACAGAGAGATCCTTGATGAAAACTTGCTCCAGAGCGCTCAAGACCTCAGACTGGGGTGAAGGTGAACCTTCCAACAGGACAACGACCCTAAGTACACAGCCAAGACAACGCAGGAGTGGCTTTGGGACAAGTCTCTGAATGTCCTTGAGTGGCCCAGCCAGAGCCCGGACTTGAACCCGATCTAACATCTCTGGAGAGACCTGAAAATAGCTGTGCAGCGATGCTCCCCATCCAACCTGACAGAGCTTGAGAGGATCTGCAGAGAAGAATGGGAGAAACTCCCAAATACAGGTGTATCAAGCTTGTAGCGTCATACCCAAGAATACTCAATGCTGTAATCTCTGCCAAAGGGGCTTCAACAAAGTACTGAGTAAAGGGTCTGAATACTTATGTAAATGTGATATTTTTTTATTTTTTTTATACGTTTGCAAAAATGTGGTATTGTGTGTAGATTCATGAGGGGAAAAAGCAATTGAATCCATTTTCGAATAAGGCTGTAACGTAACAAAATGTGAAAAAAGTCAAGGGGTCTGAATACTTTCCGAATGCACTCTATGTATGATATTCCTGGGGCAACATATAATATACCTGCATGTAGCAAGTAGGTTCTTTTAGGTAGGTCATGGTCAAAGAAGATGTGAACTGGGCACTGGTCATGGAAGTCACACCACACAAGGTTATCACAAAATATAGATTTTATTAACAATTAATATTTTGTTTTAAAATAGTACAAACTGGGCTGGGCTGGTGGGCTTAGAATGCCAACAAATATCCACATGATGTCGATTGCTCTTTAGTACAAAAGTGTTACAGGAGGGGGTCACAGTTCCGGAGCGACCCACTAGGTGTCATCCTCTGACAACCTTAGGCACCTCCTCACTCACAGTCGGGACTAATCATCATCCTATTGGTGTCACCTGTGTCTATCTGTTCACCTGTGTATTTATGCCCTCACTTCACTGTGTTCCCTTTTTCAGTTTTCTCTGCTAGTTTCTCTATGTCCAGTAGTATTACTCAGTGTCTGATCGGAGACCTATGTACAGGTACTTGAGAAGTGTTCTCCCTGTTTCGTTATTTGTTTCAGTTTGTAATGGACATACACGAAGTAGTCCAAATTGGTGAAGTGAAATGAAAATAATAACTTGTTTCAAAAAATTCTAAAAAATAAATAACAGAAAAGTGCTCTGAAGCCCCTAAATAAGATCTGGTGCAAACAATTACCTTCAGAAGTCACATAATTAGTTAAATAAAGTCCACCTGTGTGCAATCTAAGTGTCACATGATCTCAGTATATATACACCTGTTCTGAAAGGCCCCAGAGTCTGCAACACCACTAAGCAAGGGGCACCACCAAGCAAGTGGCACCATGAAGACCAAGGAGCTCTCCAAAGACCAAAGATAACCCTGAAGGAGCTGCAAAGCTCCACAGCAGAGATTGGAGTATCTGTCCATAGGACCACTTTAAGCTGTACACTCCACAGAGCTGGGCATTACAGAAGAGTGGCCAGAAAAAGCCATTGCTTAAAGAAAAAAATAAGCAAACACGTTTGGTGTTCGCCAAAAGGCATGTGGGAGACTACCCAAACATATGGAAGAAGGTACTCTGGTCAGATGAGACTAAAATTGAGCTTTTTGGCCAAACCCAACACCTCTCATCACCCCGAGAACACCATCCTCACAGTGAAGCATGGTGGTGGCAGCATCATGCTGTGGGATGTTTTTTATCGGCAGGTACTGGGAAACTGGTCAGAATTGAAGGAATGATGAATGGCGCAAAATACAGGGGAATTCTTGAGGGAAACCTGTTTCAGTCTTCCAGAGATTTGAGACTGGGACGGAGGTTCACCTTCCAGCAGGACAATGACCCTAAGCATACTGCTAAAGCAACACTTGAGTGGTTTAAGGGGAAACATTTAAATGTCTTGGAATGGCCTAGTCAAAGCCCAGACCTCAATCCAATTGAGAATCTGTGGTATGACTTAAAGATTGCTGTACACGAGCGGAACCCATCCAACTTGAAGGAGCTGGATCAGTTTTGCCTTGAAGAATGGGCAAAAATCCCAGTGGCTAGATGTGCCAAGCTTATAGAGACATACCCCAAGAGACTTGCAGCTGTAATTGCTGCAAAAGGTGGCTCTACAAAGTATTGACTTTGGCGGGGGGGGTGAATAGTTATGCACGCTCAAGTTTTCTTTTTTTTGGTCTTATTTCTTGTTTGTTTCACAATAAAAAATATTTTACATCTTCAAAGTGGTAGGCATGTTGTGGAAATCAAATAATACAAACCCCCAAAAGATCCATTTTAATTCCAGGTTGTAAGGCAACAAAATAGGGAAAATGCCAATGGGGGTGAATACTTTCGCAAGCTACTGTATCTCTAGGCTAACATTTGCCACTCTATCTTTCTTACATTTTAGTCATTTAGCAGACGCTCTTAACCAGAGCGACTTACAGGAGCAATTAGGGTTAAGTGCCTTGCTCAAGGGCACATTAACGTCATTTAGCAGACGCTCTTAGCCAGAGCGACTCACAAATTGGTGCGTTCACCCTATAGCCAGTGGGATAACCACTTTACAATTTAGGGGTTAGAAGGAATACTTTATCCTATCCCAGGTATTCCTTAAAGAGGTGGGGTTTCAAATGTCTCCGGAAGGTGGTGAGTGACTCCGCTGTCCTGGCGTCGTGAGGGAGCTTGTTCCACCATTGGGGTGCCAGAGCAGCGAACAGTTTTGACTGGGCTGAGCGGGTGCTATGCTTCCGCAGAGGAAGGGGAGCCAGCAGGCCAGAGGTGGATGAACGCAATGTCCTCGTTTGGGTGTAGGGACTGATCAGAGCCTGAAGGTACAGAGGTGCCGTTCCCCTCACTGCTCCATAGGCAAGCACCATGGTCTTGTAGCGGATGCGAGCTTCAAATGGAAGCCAGTGGAGTGTGCGGAGGAGGGGGGTGACGTGAGAGAACTTGGGAAGGTTGAACACCAGACGGGCTGCGGCATTCTGGATGAGTTGTAGGGGTTTAATGGCACAGGCAGGGAGCCCAGCCAACAGCGAGTTGCAGTAGTCCAGACGGGAGATGACAAGTGCCTGGACCAGGACCTGCGCCGCTTCCTGTGTAAGGCAGGGTCGCACTCTCCGAATGTTGTAGAGCATGAACCTGCAGGAGCGGGTCACCGCCTTGATGTTGGCGGAGAACGACAGGGTGTTGTCCAGGGTCACGCCTAGGCTCTTCGCACTCTGGGAGGAGGACACAGCGGAGTTGTCAACCGTGATGGCGAGATCATGGAACGGGCAGTCCTTCCCCGGGAGGAAGAGCAGCTCCGTCTTGCCAGGGTTCAGCTTGAGGTGGTGATCCGTCATCCATACTGATATATCTGCCAGACATGCAGAGATGCGATTCGACGGAGATGCGATTCGACGGTAAAATTAGCAAAGAGATAGACCAGATGCTTTTCAACTTTCTGTGGAGAAACTATACCCATTACATTAGGAAAACTGTTGTAATGAACACTTTTCGGGACTTTACTACCTTAAATAATACTTTAAAGACCCACTTCTATGTGGAACTTTATTCCTCATCATGTCTTCTTTACTTTTGGTGGCCTTAACTTCATGTTGGTTTGCAATTATAATATTGACAAAATTCCAGTGAAACTCTGCTTTTCATCGGCAGGTTGTCTTGTCATGGTTCTTAATTTATAAGCATAATTTTGGGAATAATCGGGACATATTGCATAAAAATACTTTCTTTGTTTTTAGAATATTGGTTCTGAAATAATATCCTATTGGTGAGCCAACTTGTAAATGCAGAGGGTCTTTTACTTAATTATAAGGAATTCTTATCACTTTACAAGATCTCTGTAACACCTAAAGATTTTGCAATTGTTTTAGATGCCATTCCCTCAGGTGTTGCTTTATTATTCAGGAACGTGTCAAGACCTGACACTCAGAACATACCTACAATTAACCCTGTTAACACATCAGTAGGAAAGATTTGTTTTTCTTTTAGTCCATTCAAAAACAATAGAGTTATACAAGCCTTGTTTCAACAGGATGTTGTATCTATACCTTATGTCATGCCTTATTGGAATGGTTTTATTGAAAATATCTGTTGGAAAAAAGTTTGGATGTTGCCACACACATACCTACTTATTAACAAAATTAAGGACGTTTCTTTTAAAATTATTCATAAATATTATCCTGCCAACCACTACACTACCGGTCAAAAGTTTTAGAACACCTACTCATTCAAGGGTTTTCTTTATTTTTACTATTTTCTAAATTGTAGAATAATAGTGAAGACATCAAAACTATGAAATAACACATATGGAATCATGTAGTAACCCAAAAAGTGTTAAACAAATAATATTTTATATTTGAGATTATTCAAATAGCCACCCTTTGCCTTGATGACAGCTTTGCACACTCTCTGTACAGAGAAGCTGAGATGTGGAAGTAGTGGAAAACAAGATCATGTTGAAAAAGAAGATCATGTTGAAGGGTTGCAATTGTGGTGGGAACCAAGAAGCTTCATCTTTGAAATGCCTGAAGAGGGCGAAAGAGAATGAGGTTGCCTGTGTCAGGGCAGCCCAGAGAATTTCATATGTGGAGGCTGGCAAAAGGGTTAAGGGAACGAATGGGTTCCTGAAGACTCCACGGTGTTGGATAAGCTGCAGAGTTGGCCTCTCATCAGCAGGATCCAGATATGTTACATTACATTTTAGTAATTTAGCAGACGCTCTTATCCAGAGCAACTTACAGTTAGTGAGTGCATACATTATTTTTCATTTTTTTCATACTGGCCCCCCGTGGGAATCGAACCCACAACCCTGGCGTTGCAAACGCCATGCTCTACCAACTGAGCTACATCCCTGACGGCCATTCCCTCCCCTACCCTGGACGACACTGGGCCAATTGTGCGCCGTCCCATGGGTCTCCCGGTCACGGCCAGCTACGACAGAGCCTGGATTACATGTTACATGTAGGTGGACTTTGTGGTTTTTATGGAAATGGAAGTGCCACCCTCTCTGGCTCTGGGGCGTTATGGAATTTTGAATTAAGGAAGAAGTGGGAGTCATAAAAAAAAGAAAATGGTATGGCGTTTCCTTTTTTCACCCCCGTCCAGTTGGTGGCGGTAATGCACCATAAACATTGAATGCCAACCGCCGTTAAACCCCAACAAAGAAGAAGAGGCCCTGTGTTGTCACTAGTTGCCACAGCCACAAAGTCATAAACCCCGCCTATTTCTACAATTTCTCTTTTTGCATAACTTCCTAAATCTGAATCAGTATAAGCAGGCCCAGGCCATGGTGAGGAGGACTATCCGTCAGGCAAAGAGGTCATGTTGGCATTGGTTCTGTGACACCATTGGAAGGGCGACACCTGTGGGAGAAGTGTGGTGGATGATTAAGAGGATGAGTGGGGTCAGAAGAGAGTGGGATTATCCAGTGTTGACGATTGGGGAGGATATGGCAGTAACAGATGAGGAGAAGGCAGAGATGATGGCCAAAGCATTTGTCCAAGTGCATAGCTCTGCATATTTGTCAGAGGGGCAGAGAGGGAGAGTGGCGCAGTGGTCTAAGGCACTGCATCGCAGTGCTAGCTGTGCCACTAGAGATCCTGGTTCGTATCCAGGCTCTGTCGTAGCCGGCCGCGACCGGGAGACCCATGGGGCGGCGCACAATTGGCCCAGCGTCGTCCAGGGTAGGGGAGGGAATGGCCGTCAGGGATGTAGCTCAGTTTGTAGAGCATGGCGTTTGCAACGCCAGGGTTGTGGGTTCGTTTCCCACGGGGGGCCAGTATGAAAAAAAAAAAAATTATGCACTCACTAACTGTAAGTCGCTCTGGATAAGAGCGTCTGCTAAATGACTAAAATGTAAAATGAGAGAAAACATGAGAGAGGAGCATCCTGGAGTGCTGGATAGGAGGGAGGATGTCAATTTACATTTACGTCATTTAGCAGACGCTCTTATCCAGAGCGACTTACAAATTGGTGCATTCACCTTATAGCCAGTGGGATAACCACTTTACAATATGTTATATATATATTTTTTTTTTGGGGGGGGGGGGGGGGTAGAAGGATTACTTTATCCTATCCCAGGTATTCCTTAAAGAGGTGGGGTTTCAAGTGTCTCCGGAAGGTGGTGAGTGACTCCGCTGTCCTGGCGTCGTGAGGGAGCTTGTTCCACCATTGGGGTGCCAGAGCAGCGAACAGTTTTGACTGGGCTGAGCGGGAACTGTGCTTCCGCAGGGGTAGGGGGGCCAGCAGGCCAGAGGTGGATGAACGCAATGCCCTCGTTTGGGTGTAGGGACTGATCAGAGCCTGAAGGTACGGAGGTGCTGTTCCCCTCACAGCTCCGTAGGCAAGCACCATGGTCTTGCAGCAGATGCGAGCTTCAACTGGAAGCCAGTGGAGTGTGCGGAGGAGCGGGGTGACGTGAGAGAACTTGGGAAGGTTGAACACCAGACGGGTTGCGGCATTCTGGATGAGTTGTAGGGGTTTAATGGCACAGGCAGGGAGCTCAGCCAACAGCGAGTTGCAGTAATCCAGACGGGAGATGACAAGTGCCTGGATTAGGACCTGTGCCGCTTTCTGTGTAAGGCAGGGTCGTACTCTCCGATTGTTGTAGAGCATGAACCTACAGGATCGGGTCACCGCCTTGATGTTAGCGGAGAACGACAGGGTGTTGTCCAGGGTCACGCCAAGGCTCTTTGCACTCTGGGAGGAGGACACAACAGAGTTGTCAACCGTGATGGCGAGATCATGGAACGGGCAGTCCTTCCCCGGGAGGAAGAGCAGCTCCGTCTTGCCGAGGTTCAGCTTGAGGTGGTGATCCGTCATCCACATAAATTATTCGTTGAATGCACCATTTACCATGGCAGAGGTGAAAAGAGCAATAGGTAAGGCTGGGTTAACTTCACCTGGGAAAGATGAGGTGTGCTATGTTATGTTGGCCCATCTTAGTGATGAGGCACGGGATAAGGTATTGGTGTTGTACAACAGAGTGTGGGAGGAGGGGAAACTACCAGGCAGTTGGAAGGAGACAGTGGTGGTACCAATCCGGAAGCCCGGGAAGGACCCAACGAAGCCAACAAGCTATCAGCCAATAGCTTTAACATCACATGTATGTAAGAGTATGGAGCGTATGATCACGGAGAGGCTAACTTACTTCCTGGAGAGCAGAGGGCTAGTAACGCCACATCAGAGTGGGTTCAGGAAGGGTAGGGGAACTATGGACCCAGTGCTCTGCTTAGAAGCAGAGGTCAGGAAGGCTCAGGTGAACAAGGAGACTGTTGTAGCTGTCTTTTTTTGATGTGGAGAAGGCGTATGATATGATGTGGAAGGAGGGGTTGTTAATCAAGCTTGATATTATGGGGGGTAGGAGGAAGAACGTACAACTGGATAAAGGATTTTCTGTTTGGAAGGTCTATCCAGGTGAGGGTGGGGAAGTCTCTATCAGGCAGCTACTTGGTGGATAACGGTCCACAGGGAGCGTGATTAGTCCTCTGTTGTCTCAATCTGACATGATTTTACGCTCAGGCACAGCGAATATGGGAGTCTTATTGCAGAGGATGGGGCCTTATGAAGAGGGAGAAGTGCACATAGTCAGGAAGGTACAGGAAGCATTGATGAGGTAAGCGGTGGCATTAATGTTGGGATTCAGGTTCTCTGTAGAGAAACTCAAACAGTGTTCTTTACCAGAGGAGTGGAGATGAGTAGCTTGAGGTTATATGGGAGAAACTGGAGAGGGTGGGGCCTTCAGTTCAATGGGTATACTTTGATACTAGGCAGAACAGCCCCGAGATATTGAGGAGGTTCATTATTTGCAGTATGAGATGGGGCCGTTATGGAAGAGGGGGAAATGTTGCAATACATAGTCAGGAGGGTACAGGAAGGCAATTGATGAGGTAGAGCGGTGGGCATTAATGTTGGGATTCAGGTTCTCTGTAGAGAAAACTCAAACAGTCAGGAAACATATTACAGATAATCTGGCTGTATATACGGCGGAGCTGATGGCCATACTGTTGGCCTTGCAGTGGGTGGAGGAAGTCAAACAAGACAGAGTAGTTATTTGCTCTGATTCATGTGCAGTGTTAATGAGTCTTCAGTCCTTTAGCTCAAGTAGCAGACAATACCTGCTTTATGAGGTGCTACAAACCCATGGCAGGATTAGACAGATGGGTATACAGATAAGATTTACTTGGGTCCCAACCCCTGTGGGGGTGGAGGGGAATGAGGCAGTAGATGAACAGGTTAAACAAGCACTTAGTAGTGGGGATGTTGATGTTGTAGTTTCAATGAGCAAGGCAGAGGCAAAAAGCCTGATATATACAGTGATGGTGAAGAGATGGCAGGAGCAGTGGAATATAAATAATAAGGGAAGGCAGTTATTTCAAGTACAGAGGAAAGTCTGGGAGGGGAGGACGGCAGGAAGGAACAGAACAGAGGAGGCTATTTTTACAAGATTAAGGGTGGGAGCAGCCAGTTGAATAATACATTAAATGTGATAGGAAAGCATCCAACAGGAAAGTGTGATTATTGCCAGGAAACAGAGACCTTGGAGCATGTATTGCTACTGTGTGGGCAGTATCAGAGGAAAAGAGAGAGGATGATATCTAGTATGCGGGAGAAGGGGATACAGGAAATTAGTTTAAAGAGTATATTTAGTAGAACGTCATTAGATATAGTCTCAAATATTTTGTTATCTTTTTAAGAGCAACGGGGCTGGCAGGTAGGATTTAGTTTCTCCCTGTCTCTGGCTCACACTCCAGTATAGTATGTGGCGGTAATGCGCCATAACGTTGGATGCCAAACGCTGATAAACCCCACCGAAGAAGAACAACAACAACAATTTCTCTTTTTAAAATGGGATTTTAAAGCTAACCCGTATTAACCCTAACCACACTGCTAACTTTATGCCTAACCCTAACCTTGAATATAGACGTTGTGTCTGTGGTATCTAAACCGAGTTTTGACGCGAAATTATCCGTGGCCAGAAGCGATACTGGCCTTTCGAAGCTCAAAACAACGCTTTTGAAATTAATGATTTTGCAGATAGATTCTTCTAATATTAGCTGCTATTTGTCTAGATGGCTTTGGAGACTTGTCCCAAGGACCTCCGCCATTTGCGTGCATGCCTTCTGTGCTCTCTTGTGAAGGTAAGTACAAATACCAGGCTAGCAAGCTAACGTTAACAAAGTCGAACACTTGGCAGTGGCATGCATTTGTAAACACTAGTTTACCTGAGAGGTTCCTAGCTACTTACTATTTATCAAACGTAACTTTTTTTAAAGCTTGCTACTATCTATTAAACGTAAAGCTTGCTGAACTGTTTGTGTGTAATCTAGCTCTGGTCTAGGACGCGCGGAAATGTGTATGGCTAACTCTGTGTAGTCATTCAATCCATCTTTCTCCTGTCCCTATACAGACTATTGACCAGTTTGAATATGATGGCTGTGACAACTGTGAGTCGTACCTTCAGATGAAGGGAAATCGAGAGATGGTATATGAGTGTACAAGTTCCTCGTTTGATGGGTAAGCTCTATACTTGTAATGTATTACTTTTCAGAGATTGCAGATTGATCCTTTAGTGCCAGTTCTGGACAGTGAGTGTGTTAAACCATTTTGTCTCTGTTTACAGGGTCATAGCCCAGATGAGTCCAGAGGACAGCTGGGTGGCCAAGTGGCAGAGAATCAGTACGTTTGTTGTCACAGTTTATCCTGTTGGACTATGACTTTCTTTCAAACGTGACCTTGAAGTTTCATTTCATTCTGTTGTGCCATTATGTTAGTTTTCACTTTTCCTGTTCAGGTAACTTCAAGCCAGGTGTCTATGCTGTGACGGTGACAGGGCGGTTACCTCCAGGTATGTCACGTTCAAAGGCAGTTAGTGTATATTTTAAACACTCAACCAGGGCTCTAAAGTGTGACATTTTGGTCGCATATGCTCCTAGATGCACTACATGACCAAATGTATGTGGACACCTGCTCGTCAAACATCTCATTCCAAAATCATGGGCATTAATATGGAGTTGGTCCCCCCTTTGCTGCTATAACAGCCTCCACTTTTCTGGAAGGCTTTCTTCTAGATGTTGGAACATTGCGGCGGGGACTTCCTTCCATTCAGCCACAAGAGCAATAGTGAGGTCGGCACTGATGTTGGGCGATTAGGCCTGGTTCGCAGTCGGCGTTCCAATTCATCCCAAAGATTTTTGATGGGGTTGAGGTCAGGGTGCTGGACAGGCCAGTCAAGTTCTTCCACACTGATCTCAACAAACTATTTCTGTATTGACCTCACTTTGTGCACGGGTATTGTCATGCTGAAACAGGAAAGGGCCTTTCCCAAACTGTTGCCACAAAGTTGGAAGCACATAATCGTCTAGATTGTCATTGTATGCTATAGCGTTAAGATTTCCCTTCACTGGAACTAAGGGGCATAGACCGAACAATGAATAACAGCGCAATTATTCCTCCTCCACCAATCTTTACAGTTGGCAGATGCCAGGAGGACGGCCATGGGGCAGGTAGCCTCCTCCTGGCATCCGCCAAACCCAGATTCGTCTGTCGGACTGCCAGATGGTGACGCGTTCTCTGGAGTGATGAATCACGCAATTCCACTGCTCCAGAGTCCAATGGCGGCGAGCTTTACACCACTCTTGGCATTGCGCATGGTGATCCTAGGCTTGTGTGCGGCTGCTCGACCATGGAAACCCATTTCATGAAGCTCCCGCCGAACAGTTCTTGTTCTGACGTTGCTTCCAGAGGCAGTTTGGAACTAAGTAGTGAGTGTTGCAACCAAGGACAGACAATCTTTACGCGCTTCAGCACTCTGTGTTCCCATTCTGTGAGCTTGTGTGGCCTACCACTTCGCAGCTGAGCCGTTGTTGCTCCTAGACGTTTCCACTTCACAATAACAGCACTTACAGTTGACCGGGGCAGCTCTAGCAGGACAGAAATTTTACAAACTGACTTGTTGGAAAGGTGGCATCCTATAACGGTACCACTTTGAAAGTCACTGAGCGCTTCAGTAAGGCCATTCTACTGTGGATGAAAATAGCCGAATCCACTAATTTGATGGGATGTCCATATACTTTTGTGTATATATAGAGTATTTTGCTGTGCGACCTGCCATTTTTAATTTGGGAGCACCAGTATTTTGGGAGCACCAGTGCAACCAGGAAAAAATCACCCAGATAATAATTGTTGAAATTATGGGTTTCCGAGTGCCCTAGAGAAAAAAGTGAGCGCAGATTTGTTCAATCCAAAGCTTAGCTACATGTAAAGAATATTAAAGAATGCATCAGTGATTTGTATTTCTTGCAACTTTCTGAAGGCATGGGAATGCGTGGGTCTACCACTTTGTGTAGCCAAGTAGCGATACCAAAACACTCATGCTAAAGGTTTTCCCCATAAAACTGTCCAAATTAAATGTTAACTGCTAAGTAGGCTTACTTGGCAGAATGGTATCATATCATGATTTTTATCAATCGGGTGGTCTTTTGTTTTGCAAACTCTGCTATTGTGCATGCAGTATCCTACAGAAACATTGCCAGCCAAAATGAAATTAAAGGACAACTATGCCCTCCCAAATGTATTACTTTTTCTTCCCCAGATCTCAAAAGTGGTCTCCTGATGTGGTTTACGCATTGCTGTGGACTTAGAACATCAAATGTAGTTGTTTTTCTATTAGATATTAGAAAAGTGTGATTTTGCAAGGGAAAACCTGAAAAAACCCATTATTAAACATTTGGGGGCACCGAAATAAATGAAAAGGGATAGCTTCTTTAGAAGATCAATGATCATAGCAATGAGTAAATTACTGATCTCTTGCTATATCTCAACCGATTCAATTTTTGTTTGGGGGGGTTTGATTTTGTGCTCCTAACTTTTTAAAGTTTGGGGCACCAGTGCTACCAATACTTTTTTTCTTTATTTAGAACCCTGACTGCACTCAACAGTCTAGCATAGGAGCCATTCAGAAAATCTTGGCATATGTGGTTAAAATGGTGTTTATCAGGAAACAAGCTGTGGAATCCTCTTGGGTTCTCAGACTGCTGTCATAGAAGTTCACACTGTGGATGAGATTCACTCTCAACATTGTTCTTCTTTCTGTCCTGCAGGGGTGGTGAGAGAGCTGAAGAGCAGAGGAGTGATCTACAAATCCAGAGACACTGCTGTGAAGACATAAGCCTCATCATTACCTCTCTATGTGGACAGACGGTCATCATCAGCACAGCCTCATAATGCAACAACATAACATTCCCATAAACACAGGAGTCTGTGGGGACTGACATTGTGGCTAGTGGGTCTTCTGTTTGCTAAACACAAGTGCAAAGTCTGATTTTGTGTAATGTCTCATAGAACTGTCTTGTTTTCTTTTTTGAAAGATTGTGTGTAATGTTGGGTTGATTGTTTTGAATGGGATGGGATGGGTTCACTCTGCTGAAATAGACAATATGCTTGATTTTTTTTCTTCTCAATTGTTTCATTTACAAACCTGAGTGTAATTATCATTATAATAAATGAAGTCTCTGGGCTTCCGAGTGGCGCAGCGGTCTAAGACACTGCATCGCAGTGCAGAGGCGTTACTACAGACCCGGGTTCATTCCCGGTGGGGCTTTACTTGGCTCATCGCGCTCTAGCGACTCCTTGTGGCGGGCCGGGTGCCTGCAGGCTGACCCCGGTCGCCAGTTGAACGGTGTTTCCTCCAACACATTGGTGCGGCTGGCTTCCGGGTTAAGCTGGCGGTGTTAAGGAGCGCGGTTAGGTGGGTCATGTTTCGGAGGACGCATGACTTTGCCTCTCCCGGTCTTCAATTAATTCACTTCATATCATTACACCCCACAGTAGCAGCCTCTGAAACACTGAGCAGTATACTATACACCCACAAGATGGGGCTGTGTAACTGCAGGTTGAAAAATTCACTTTACAATAATGTATAAGGGTGGCAACCACAAGCGACACTAAACTGATGTCTTCTACAAAGGTCAGCCACTAAATTACTACGGCTGGGTCTGGGATTCAGTCCGATTGCTCTTTACCGTGAATGCAGTCTCTTCGAATGCGGGAACATTGCCTTTAAAAGGTGAATTGCTGGTAAAGAGCGATCGGATTCAATCCTGGCCTAAATGATATCCCTCAATTGAAAGTTGTTACTTAAGCAATAGTACATGAGGCCATGTGTTATGACATTTTTATCATGGCTGTGACGTGGTTATAGACCGCCACAGCCATGATAAAAATGTCATAACACGTACTCAAGTGTATTCTTGCTTTTTTTATACAACGGGTTACCAGAATTAAAAATCAAGATTATTTCCCAAACCATACATTTTTCTACAAAACGTGATGCTACATTCACTAGTAACACTGGTTGTCAAGTGACATTTTAGTCATTCTCTGGTCGTTAGTTCTATTTGTATTGACTGCCATGTAAAGCAAAACTAGCCAAGCGCTGGTTGATACTGTAGTTCCAGAACCTTGGTTTCTAGGGACGCTGTCCATGGTTCTGAAAACAGCACGTCTATGCCTAGGAAAATAGAATGCCAGATCTAAACATTGTATACTACCCAAGCGATGGTTGATTTAGGTGGATGTTTTTCTATCTGTAACGACCTTACTGGCCAGACAGAGATGAGAGAAGGCTTTCCCGCTAATGAGTGCTCTCAGCTTCCATTTGCATTGTTTTACATGACATCTTTTGAAGCCATTTTGCAGGATATTATTCCATTGATGTTCCTGCTTTGTGTGTCAGACATTGTTCAGGTACTGTATTGAGGCTGCACCACCTTGTTATTAGGAAGTTGATGGGAATCACAGCCAGACAGGTCAGCAGTACTAGGCATACTCCTATTACATTCTCATTCTCTCTATAAACTTGATGGGTCTCTGGAAATTAACATGACAAGAACATGATTGTGATTATCCCTTTATTGGCTCAAGGGAATCTCTAATAAAAAAAATGAATTACGCTGTGTCAATTAGACTAGTGGCCAATCCTCAAATAGGACTCGTTTTTTGAGATAACCCTACCCGAGGTATAACACAACCATGTTTTTCCATATCTCTAAGGTCTCCCATATATTAAATGGATTGTTGTATAAAAAAAACCTACGCTCATGTAACCCAAAATTGCAAGCTTTGATATTGAAAAAATTTGGAGTACAAGTAGTCAGTTGCCTGCCCTACATACCCAAACAAACAGTATTCGGATATCTTGGAAATATAGACCTGTGAACACAGAGATACAATAGTAAGAAATATCAGCTATTAATGTTTTGGTAGCTTTTTGCTCTCATTCAGTGTTGTATGGTCCTGCCTGACAAAAATGCATACAGTTACACTTCTTTTTATGTTGTGACTATTGTAATCAGCTAGGCAAGTGGGCTCAGACACTGAAAACTGTCAGTTTTTCCAGTCAGAAGTTCCTCTGTGGATTGTATATGTTTAGCCCCTACTCTTGCAATTACGTTAGATTTGACTCCAAATCCAATATGGCTTCCAAAATCCAATATGGCTGCCACATTACCATTAAATTGTGGTTTAATCACCTGTATTTGTACACATTTTAAATGAGATACATTTTTCAGATTTGTGTACTGTACTCAATACTATTTTTGTGTAGATCAACTATGTTAGGAATCCAATATGCCCACCTTATACACTCAAACAACTTTGTCTGGATATATAAAAAGGCAGCAGACTGCTTGGTATGGCAACACCAAGTATTCCAAGGCACAAGCCTCTTTAGGATCAATGAGGCAACTGGGAGGCTCCAACAAAAGGAAAGAGAAATCAACCCTGGACTCTGACACCCTCTCCCTAGCTCTACAAGTTGCCCCCACTGTGGTATAACTTCCTCCTCCAGGATTGGGCTTTAAGTCACCTCCTTATCATTTAGTCTGCCTGAATCCAACATGACCTTCTGCTGTCTCACTGCATTTGTGATGCACATTGGGATGTTCTGGTGCACTCTTATCCTGTTTGGGTTGAGCTGGCGCATTGCTTCTTCCAAACAATCATGACCACCATCCTGGCTGTCTGCCCTGGAGTTGCCGTATATTTTGACTTGGTGACAGTTATGGTGTATGGGGAGGATGCAACCACACATGACAAGCGCGTAAGGCAGGTGTTCACTATAATGAACCAACACAAACTGACACTCATTGACAAGAAATGTCATCAACTTAGTGGGCCTTCACATGTCATAGGAATTGTACCTCTCCAATGTCAATGCCATCCTGAATCTCCCAGAACTGTCCTCAATAGGCCCACTCCACCATCAGTCCTCCCCTCGGGCAGTTACTAGAGACAGAGACATCATGGAACTGGACTGCCACATGTCAGGAGGCCAATCAACAGTCAAAATGCTGTCTGGAAATTGCTGGCTTGCATTGTCCTCATATTTACCTATTTTGCTACCAACCATGGCTGGCCAGGCCATGTGACACCTGAACTGGACTCGCATGTGAAGAATGAGCTTTCATGCTGGGGTGACTCTTGCATTGGTCTGGGAAACTGCAGTTATCCTAACATCCCTATAAGGACATATGCCATTTATGGAAAACAAGAGGCACCTTAGGATGGTAAAACTTGTTGTATGTGATCGTTTATGGTGGCTGGGGATTGACTGTTAGATAATGGTCTTTGTGCACCATACTTGATCAGCTCCACCTCCTCTGCAACCCTTTAACTATCCACCAAATTAATATAAAGACATATGTAGGATGTGACCTGCAGGAAAGAAAAGAAAAGTATTAAACAAATCAAAATAGATTTGAGATTTGAGATTGCATCAGATGACCTGGCCTCCACAATCCCCCGACCTCAACCAAATTGAGATGGTTTGGGATGAGTCGGACCTCGGAGTGAAGGAAAAGCAGCCAACAAGTGCTCAGCATATGTGGGAACTCCTTCAAGACTGTTGGAAAAGCATTCCAGTGTGAAGCTGGTTGAGAGAATGCCAAGAGTGTGCAAAGCTGTCATCAAGGCAAAGGGTGGCTATTTGAAGAATCTCAAATTAGTTTAACACTTTTTTGGTTACTACATGATTCCATATGTGTTATTTCATAGTTTTGATGTCTTCACTATTATTCTACAAAAAAAAAAAGTACAAAATAAAGAAAAACCCTTGATTGAGTAGGTGTTCTAAAACTTTTGACCGGTAATGTATTTAGCAGTCTTATGACTTAGGGGTAGAAGCTGTTAAGGGTCCTGTTGGTTCCAGCATTGGTGCCGCTTGCCATGCGGTAGCAGAGAACAGTCTATGGCTTGGATGGCTGGAGTCTTTGACAATTTTTAGGGCCTTCCTCTGACACCGCCTGGTGTAGAGTTCCTGGATGGCAGGCAGATCGGCGCCAGTAATGTACTGGGCCGTACGCACTACCCTCTGTAGTGCCTTGTGGTCGGATGCCAAGTAGTTGCCGTACCAAACGGTGATGCAGCCAGTCAAGATGCTCTCAATGGTGCAGCTGTAGAACTATTTTTGGGGGGGATCTTGACCCGCTCCACTACCTCCCCGTTGATGTGAATGTGGGCTTGCTCGGCCCTCCGTTTCCTGTAGTCCACGATCAGCTCCTTTGTCTTGCTGACGTTGAGGGAGAGGTTGTTTTGTGGAATTGCCCATTGTGTGTGAATGAGATTAAAACATGAACACCAGTGAAAAACTAGTTGGCTTTGGCTATTCAAACACAACAGAGGCATGGCAATCTCATTCATAGTCCTACAGCAGATACACTACCGGTCAAACGTTTTAGAACACCTACTCATTCAAGGGTCTTTCTTTATTTTTACTATTTTTTACTTTGTAGAATAATAGTGAAGACATCAAAACTATGAAATAACACATATGGAATCATGTAGTGAGCAAAAAAGTGTTAAACAAATCAAAATATATTTTATATTTGAGATTCTTCGAATAACCACCCTTTGCCTTCATGACAGTGTCAAGTTGCGTCAATTCAAATCTGGTATAGGAACAAAAAGAGGTCAATACACGTCTTCTAAGATAGACTAGTATTTTAATGAATGGTAAATATGATGTTCATATATACGGGCCCACTGAAACACCACGCAGGGCAGTCAGAGAACTAACTTTTTCAACCCAAGGTTCTTCTTTAATACTCTGACAGAGATAGTTCCTGCTCCAGGCTGGGCCTGTTAGAGTAGAGGCTGGGTGTGGTTTAAACTTACCCAACCTATCGATGGCGCACAGGCTGGTCCCAGTCTCTTGGCGCATCCCTGTTGCCAGGTGTTAGTTGTTTCTGCAACTTGTCTAGAAAGTCAGCACTTCTTCATTGTAGCAGTACACATGTCCTTGAGCAGTAAACAAAGAGGCAGTGTGTGTGTGTGAGTCACAAGTCCATCTCAGCCTACCCCCTAACGGTTCCTCACATTAATCACAGCTTGTTATGTTAAACAATCTATATCAGTACAGCACAAACCTATTATGTTTAATCATTAATGTATTCTTTCTAAGCTAGGCATCACATCTAGTTGTAAGAGAATAGATCCCCACAACAGCTTTGCACACTT